CGGGTCCTCGTCTTCACCAAACGGTACAGATATCGAAGCAGACGATCCTGGGCCTGATTCTTTGGCAGGAGACATAGAACGAAGTTGAATAAGGCGCAGTAGCTTGGAAATAAGACGAGCTTGACCAGAGCTTTTCTTTTGCAAGATCACAACTTGACCTCTGTGCTTTGCAAGTTCTTGCTTCAGTCCGTCGATTTCAAGCTGGTGTTCTGCGAGAGCCTTTATATGAATTTTCTCTCGTGATTCCATGTCGTTCATACGCTCTACCAGTTCTTGAATCACTGAGTTGCTCGCCAAGTTTTCATGACCGATGTCATGAAATAGCTGGTCACTTGCACATATTGTTATATGAGCAAAACTTATTACGCAGAAAACTATATAATACATCCTCTGTTTGCAGGTTCTTCTTACACATAAAACAGCATAAGTTTTAAATGTCACCTTATCATAGGTGCTGTTTTTAACCTACTATGCCAAATCGTGCCAGGTTAATGATTGAGATGCCGTATTTAGAATACATTTATTTATCAAATATTTATGCTTTCATTTGCGTTCACCTTAAAAAATGTCTGCCATTTATTTTACAACAGTGATAAAGAGAAATTTAAATTTGAGAGAGTATGTTTCCTCCACAAGATGCGATGATTTGTAGCTGTTATACGCCAGTTACAAACTGAATTGATAATAACAAACAGTTCTACGTACGTTTCTGTATAAAACAAACTTGATTGTTTGGTATATTGCAGATAATGTACAGTTATAGAAGTCCACATGGTTAATTGTTAAAACTTTGAAATTACTTTTGTTTTGTTAGAAAGGCATGTAACTGAACTTTCTGTAGCTTTTTATACAAATGTAACTACATTTATTGACTTATATCATTTAAAGAATGGTCCGATTTTTTTTAATTTACTAGTATCAAAATGACTCTTATTCTGCATGACGCGACACTTAATCTGTAATTATAAACAATAGATTAAAGATACAAATAAACAATCGCCAACGGGAAATAGGGGTTATACATTTATACAATTCACTACATGATGTTTATCAAGTTTGAAGTATTCTAAATAAAGCAACGATTCTTTAACATGACACGATTTTGTCTACAAAACTGAAGAAAAACTTCTCTGATAAGGTAAGATTTAAACTTCATGTTGTTTCATTATGTCAAAATATCCTGTAAACAAAGGGTGTATTTCTTAGCTGTCTGCATAGTAGGATTTGCTTATATAACGACATGTACAGCAAACAAACTATTTGATAACATCGGTCATGAAAACTTGGCGACCAACTCAATGATTCAAGAACTGGTACAGCGTATGGACCACATGGAATCAGGAGAGAAAAGTCATATAAAATCTCTCGCAAAACTTAAAATTGAACACCAGCTTGAAATCGACGGACTGAAGCAAGAACTTGGAAAGCACAAAGGTCAAATTGTGGTCTTGCAAAAGAAAAGCTCTGGTCAAGCTCGTCTTATTTCTAAGCTATTACGCCATGTACAACTTCGTTCTATGTCTCCTGGGCCAGGTTCACATGATTCGATATCTGTACCATCTGTTCCGTCTGGTAAAGACGAAAAGAAACAGAAGATTGCAGTTGGAAATGAAGGTATGAAATAGATTTTAATCCGTGAATGTAGCGAACACAAAAGCCAAACCGTGAATACATTATTTTTATATATATCATTTATCATGATTTATGTTTGAATATAATAATTGTGAGTATATGTACGTTGAATGCTATTGACGAAAAAGAATTCAAGAAAAATATATATGGTTATTACTTTAGACATCTCTGTGGAATATTTTAAAGATAAAGGATTCGGAACATTATTTCAATGACTCAAGTTAGTAAATGTAACTATGATAAATTGTAACAAAGCAAAATTGCAGAAAAGTATTTACGTTTGGATCAATTTCAAATTTATTTTTGACAATACAATTTTTTCAGTCACCAGAATTCGACGAGTAGAGAATGAGATAATGGTTACTTTCACAGTTGGTCTCACACATCTTTTTCTTCATGCCCCGGCCCTCATCAGAACATAGTATTTGACCACGTCGAAACTAACATTGGAAACGGTTACAATTCTCACCATGGTGTATTCACTGCACCTGTATCTGGTGTCTACCTATTTTATTCTTCTATTTTGTCCAATAATAATGGAGAGGTTTGGTGCCAGATTGTTGTAAATGGTAGCTATAAAGCATCTATATACACACGTGGTACGGATGGCCAGTCTAGCTATCATTGTTTACCTACACCAAGGGGATGACGTCGCTGTCCAAAATCTCGCTAACGACCATGCCATATATAGTGATTCATATATCTATTCAACATTTTCCGGTGTTTTGCTTCAGCAAAGTTTCTCTCAACTCGGCTCCATTTTGGGTTAATTGGGATGAAGTTGCCATTCATTATTTGATGTAATATTAGAAAACTCATTTTCTTTAAAGTCTTAAAAACTGATCTTTATGTCGACAGAATACAAGGAAAAAAGAAATACGATGTCTCCATTACTTATTTTGATAGTATTTACAAAAGACACTTTTAATAAAATTAACTTTCTTTTAGATTGACTTTTTGATTTAATGACGTATTAAAACGCATCTTAGAATATTCCTGGTTTACTCGTGGTATTGGAAGATCGTCAGATATAAGTTTTACCGGTTTCCTTTGTATATTTTCAAAACAAATAACTTACACTAAACATAACTTGGTTGGTTTATCTTATTTGTTTTAATCCAAATCCATAACGGTTAACATGTAGGTCTACTAATGATTCGTCTTATAATTTTCACTAATACTTATCGTCACATATCCAGCAATTATAATAAGGGCTCTTTTGAAGGCTTTAGTAATGTTACTGTTTAATATGAACTTTGCAAGCATTAAATGTCTCTAGCTAATAAGGAATTGCCTGTTTCTAGTACAAAGTAACGTGTTTATGTTACAACATGTTCTAAGAACAAAATCAAAGCAATAGTTTGTTTGCTTTATTTAATTTTCTTTTTCTAAAGCTGTCTGTTTTATATACAAGTGAAATTACATGATGGTTTATATCCTAGTGGTAAAGGTGTTTGTCTCCAGGTTTTGTGATCAGATATATGTTAGCGTTGTAATAATATATAAAACAGCAAAAATGTATACGCTCTCCTTTTTCGACTTTGTTTTCTTATTATAAACAGAAAACATTCAAGTCCTTATTTACACTGAAAAAATGTAATAATTATGAAGAATATATAAAAAGATGTGTTTGTTATTATTTTTTCTAATGTTGAAAAAGTATTACTCGAAGTCTAATTATTTGAAGTAATTTGTTATTTTTTAATTGAACGATTTAACAGTATGACTAAATAGAGGATAAAAAATATGAGGTCGTTAAAAAAAAGTAAAAAAAGAAAGTAGTGAGTATGTACATACATGTAAACATGTAGACCATTCAAGAAGCATTCCGGCAAAATAATTATTGTTTAACTTTATGTGAACACTTTTAAGTGTTGAAAATTAAGTACAAATGTACCACTCAATCAGGTGCTATGGGGCGTGAGGGATGTTGCACTTCTTCATTAAACACCATGTACAAAGTCAAACAAACCTAGTCTGCAATTTTCGTGTTATTTTGTTCCTAGGGATCACACTTTATCCAGGTTTTTATTGCATTAAGAGATGCAAGTTAGTGCAGGTATCGGCGAAAATATAAGTATAAATGCGTTGTGGTTATCAAAAGAAGTGTTTAGATGTAATCAAACTAAAAGTTATTCTGAAACCATAGATATTCGTAACATTTTTTGACAGGTGGCTTCGTTAGAATGCAGAATTTGTTTTCAAATGATACATAAATTGTATTTAGAATTACAAATATGTATATTTTTGCCTGTCCACTAGTGCTTTTACTACTTTTCTGTCAACACACTTTCAATATGACATTTAAAACAATGTAATAACTATGAATAAGAGTGTTTCGTTATTTTATCTGTAATATCCCGCCTTTCATTCGTTCCCGATGATACATAACCGAAGTTTGACGGAAAAAGTCGAAATCTTTTGATTGTTTTTTATGACGGTGTTGCTGTCAAACTTACAATTTATGAATTTATGATTACGCTGTGTTTTGTTACGTTCTTCGTTTACAGATAGATAATCAATTCATTTATAAATGTATTAAGAAATTTTAAGTTCATGACACTTGCTTTTATATCGGCTTTGTCATATTATAAATTGCATTTAAACGAGAATAATTAATTCAAATTGATGTACATTTTATATTTAATGCATCTGGCCTTTATTTCATATCCTGTTCCAAATATAACTTTCGTCTATATTCGTGTTTACTTTACGCATGACAAGTATTTACGTAGCGGTGTGAAATAAAGTCATATTTCTTTGGATGGCAATAGTTTAAATCAAAGTAGGACGTGTACTTTGAAGATTATATAAATATAGATAGTATAACAAGTATAACACTGTAGCAGGTAATTATTTCACTATTTGATTCTTTATTTTCATAATTTTTATTTGACATACAAAATTATGACCATATTACTGATTGGCATTTTGATAATTAAAGAAAATCAAATCAACATTAAAATTTGTATAGAAGATAAATATTATTTTTAAATAATTTGAACCACTTAACCTGACTATATGAGAATGAGATGTAGCCAAGTCACGTGTGGTTATACGTTGTTTTTGTTGTGTTAATAATCGTATGATAACCGTTTTTTATGTACTTACACCAGTATACAATAAGATTTTTTTTCAGTTTTAAGACAGATACGTTGATATGTAAATACATGGCCTGAAAGAATGCTGGTGAAGTGGTCAATTTATTTTATTCATCAATGATATGTAAATTAGATCAACAATCATGACAGATGGGCATTTACAGAAAGATAACGGAGTCTGGCACACGAACTCGGAGGTAGGTGTAGCTAAGAACACCCTTAACTGTTATAAACTTAATATGAGCTTAAAACTTAAAACATTTAAACTATGAAATGTGTCAGTCAATGCCTTATACTTTTATGTGAGTAAAGTACTATGAGGTATATCTATAATAATGTTCACAATTCTAACACAATAGTTATAGCAATAACGAAATGTATGGTTATACATTGTATATTTAAGTAATGATCGTATTTCTACGTACTTGAAATATGAAGTATTTTAATAAAGAAATTCGACATATATTATCTAAAGTGTTGGTTCGGCATAATCCTTGACCATTTCACCATTTCTTTAAGTCTTTGTTTATATTAAATAGTATTATTTTACAAAGGAACAATAACATCTGTAGTTGTTTAATTTAGTTCATACAATACTTTTACCAATATAAAAATGGATGTTATAATGTAAAGAGTGTCCTACATTACCATTAGTAAATATGAGAAGATAGCCGCATGAAACATGATATATATGGTAGTGAACGCTCATAATATCACGATTCTGTACTTTACGTGTTATTTTCCGTATAACGCTCATTCTCAATAAAACACAGCATTTGATGTTCCATTGGGTAGCTCTAATACGAAGGTTTTTCTTGAGGTTAAAATGTCGTTAGAAAGGTGTCTGCCACTTTGTCTAGTAGGGACATTCTCAGTTTTACATTTCTATCTGTTATTTTTCTTTTACAAGTACCATTAATGCCCTAAAATGTAACATACGTTACTGTCGCCACCTAGAATTTTCAACTTTGAAATTGTGTTTCAGAAAAATAAGTTCCAGAATAAACGAAACTTGTGCAATTAGTCATTGCTGTGTGTATATGAACTTTGATTATTGGTAAAAATTATATTTGACTGTTAAAATCTCATTGATATAATGGATGATCAAATGTCGCCAAATGCATATAAATAAATAGTGACAAACCTAAAACAATAAGAAGTGAAACCGAAATTACATACAGTAGAACTTCTATGAGTCGAACTTCGATTAGTCGATTTTCTCGATGTGTCGAAGTAAAATGAAAGTCCCGATTTTTTTCCTTATATATTCCTTATAAAAACCTACTTATGAGTCGAGATTTTATGTGTCGAATTTTTCGATGTGTCGAAGTTTTTTCGTGGTCCGTATAGAATAAATCTAGAACAATTTACCACAAATAAGCCGAAGTACTTCGATCATTTCGACACCTTCGATCTCGAGACATTTTTCACACCTTTTCTGGCCGCGAAGAAGATTTCCGATCAACTTTAGTGACAGGTGTTAATTACACAGCCAAGTGTTCAAACAGCCTTTGTATGCGTTTAAGTGTGTGAAAAAAATGCTTTAATCGTTACTATTTTAATTGCTTTAGCGGTATTTAACAGTAAGAACTATCATTTGAGTACTTCCGTGACCCGGTGTCGCGATATAATCACACGCGAAACAATTACTATAAGCTGGTTTAGTAATTGCCCTTTCGTATTGTTACGCCTTTTGTAACTTTATTGTATACGTAAATCAATTTAGCCGTGAAAAATTACTTAAAGTGTCATATTTATCATTGTATAATGTAAAATATCAGATTAATGAATGAAAGAAAAACATGAAATAGGTTGCGTTATAGATCTTATAAATAGGGCTAGTCACGGGTTGAAATTTGGTCATGAAATTCAGACCGATTCATGAGTCGAAGTCCCGATGTGTCGAAGTTTTTACACAAGTCCCTCTAACTTCGACTTACCGAAGTTCTACTGTAATTGAATTGATGCATGCTTAATAATACAGCATATATATAATTATAAGTGAAAATAAGCTTGCAGCCTCTCAAATATCATTCTATTTTCGGAAATTTTCATGTTTTATTCAAATCTTTTCAACAGCATTTTAAAAAGAAACATACGTTACCATTATTTAAGAACCAATCCATTCAAAGAAGAATCCAAACAAGAAAGAAAATTAACATGTGTGTAACTCTGATATATTAACCACAAATTATGGCGGGTTAAACGGTCTTGCGTCTTTTTTAAACCCACTTTCAATGTAAAAATGAAACATACGTTACAGAAACATACGTTATCAACTTTTTTAAAGAAGTTTATCAAAAGAGAAATTGAAGTCAGAAAGCACGTATAACAGCAACATTAACTTCAATTTGACATTAGTAAGTAAATTTTGTTAACTTTGGTCGAGTTTTAACTTGTTTAAGTAACCACAGTAAAACAAACTTTTCTTTTATCAAACAGACTTTATATTGTTTAAACATGCATATATAAAAACATAAAATCGCATTTTTATGACAATAGTATGATGTACATTTGATTCCTAAATAAAAAAAAGTCGATTTAACATGTACATTTCAATTCCGTTATAAAGTTCATAAATAAGCGAGTGTGAAACATACGTTACTCCAACTTACAATTCAACAATTTTTGAAAATTAAAGATAAATTTGAGATTAGCATGCCTGTTAGTACCGGTTACATTGTATTAGATGTAAGAAGATACAAAAGTGTTTTTACAAAGGAAAATTTGTTAATAATATGTTGATGTGCCAGCAGAAATGTTAAAAATATATTACAAGATATTAATGTTCTCAGCAACAACTAATTCGTTTCTGCAAAGAGCTTACTGGCCGTATTTCATTCTATATATAATAATGTTAAAATAATATCCTTAAGTATAAATTATTTTACAAAACATAAAATTGTTTTCTCAACCTTTACTTGCATTTGAAAAAAAAAAGAAACATACGTGACATCCTATATGGGGATAGATATAGAACTGCTTAGCAATAAATTTTCCAAATATTAAGAAAGTGGAAAGTTGAATGTTTTGGAAAAAACATGCTAACACAAAATTTGTGTATGTATTCGACCTCCCATATATTATATATGATATATATCCTTTGAATGAAGACAGAAGATAATCATTTCCAAAATTGACTATTTTTGCTTTCTACGAATATTTAACTTTGAAGAAATTAACTGAAAATTAGCAAGGTACCTAACTTCCTTGAATTTTCCTGGGTTAGAAAGTCCCTCTAGATAGAGATTTTACAGATTTTGATATATTTTACAGACATTTATTATTAATATGCAGCCCATATGTTACATTATTAGATCTGAAATCTACGTTACCGAAGAAATACAGTGTCATTACCTGAATAAATGTCATCCTGTTATATTATAGTTTCTTGTTCAAAATATTTCTGGCAAACTTGCAAAGTACCCTAAACTTTTACTTCAGCGATAAAAATGACACAATGACAACATCAAATTTTTAATATTTTTCAACCTCAAATGCTTTATTTTATTGAGAATGGGCGATAAATGACCGAAATGTACACACGTCAGATTAGTGATCAGTACACCATTGATGATTCTGTATACTAGTACTAAAGTTGTTCTTATTTGCAATGTGAAAGAAGTTTTTTATTCTTCTAAATGGTATTCTAGAGTTTTCATGTGCCCATCACTCATTGACAGTATGAGTTATATCTATATTTTTTCAACATTATTCGGAACAGAAAGAGTGGTGGGAATGTATGTGGGGAGGGAGGAGTTCTCTTGATATCAGCCCTCCTACGCATTCCCTCCCCACTTGAGACCGTTCATTAAATGTTTTAAAATTCTGACTACTATAACTTTTGGTTATACATGTATAACAATAATCAATAGTTTATTTATTACAAATATTACCAGTTTAAGTGCACATATTGACATCGACACAATGTATCAACTTCTATGTTAACGCCACTGCAGTCATATATTTTCATTTTGTCGCGGTAGTAATATCTTTGGCGTGTATATTATTCCAAATAATGTTTGCAACTGATGTTCCGGATATGTCCAAACATTAGCGCATCAGAATATAATATTTCTAAATACCATAAGGCATACAAAAGTGTACACATTTTAATTCATTAATTTCTGAATTTTTAGGTGTCGGATTTACCGTCTATAAACTACGATGCGTACGGTGAAGAAGAGGTTTTAGATGAACTCCAAGGACCTCGGAGCTGGGTGGTTCCCGCAATTGCCAGTACAGTTTTCTGCTTTTTACCCACAGGATTAATTGCACTATATTATGCTAGAAAAGTAAGGAGATAATAGCTTGGAATTTTGAAGCATTTGTATAAAGAACCTACTTCTCATGAAACATAAGTAAATAACGTGTTTAAGTTGTAGTTAATGTTGGTATGGTAAGTTACTGGCATGTTGTCATGGTGTTTGTAATAACTACTAAAGATCTCTAAGGATGCTAAGAATGTAATAAGTCAACGGCCATAATTTCTGGATAGACCACACACAAATTGTCCGCTCGAATCCTCTTGGAGGTCGTTATTTTTCTTGTGAGGAAGCTATTGGTAATCTGTCAACCAACCGGAGTGACGTCAAAAATGAAGCTGCTTGAGAGTGACAGTATTCAGCGTGACTTAATTACCAACAACAAAAACAACAACAACAGCAAGGAAATGATTATCATGAATTACAACAACTACATTTTGTAATGTTAATTATAAATAAGTCCCATGTATTCTGATCATAAGCATTGTTTATTTAATGTCGTTGTTTATCTTTTAGAAATAGTATTACTCCGTTACATTTCAGGCACAGAGAGCTTACGAAACAGGTGACTTTCATTCATGGACACGGTATAGAGGGCGTGCTCGTTTCCTCATATTTGTTACTTGTGTTCTCGGTATATTGGTTTATATTGTTATCATCGCTATTGTGCAAGGAATTAAACACACGAGTTCCACGTGATAAAATCACGTGCTTTTAGTTTCCCTGTATTCCGCTGCATCAAGCAATTCTGTACAAGGAATAGATTATACCAGTATTCTGTGATAAAGTCACGTGTTCTCTTCTGATTGTCTGTTATTCAACTGCAATAATTAATTTTGTGCAAGGAGTAAAACATACATGAGTTTAACATAATAAAATAAAACGTCCTTAGCTGTTTTGTAGTCAACAGCAACGGTCGCTTTTATGCAGGAAGTGGTGCATGTGAGTACCTAGTGATCAAATCACGTGTTCCTGATTCGATTACCGAAACATACAAGTACCACGTTATATAATCATGTGGTCTTAAAGTGATTGTGCTGTCTTGTGCGGTGAAAAAGTGAATAGGTTACAAGTACGTTATTATATACAAATTATTTCATAAAGTACCAAAAGATGTATCAGTTTCTGTGTTAGATTAATATAATTAACATTAATCAATAACGGTAGAAACACGCGATCATTGTTGATGTAATGTGTTCTTCTACATTTATAGTCTCAGATATGCATTGAAGTTTATCTTACTTGTGTCAGACCTGCAAAATACCACAGACGCTTGGGGGTCAGATCCTGACCCCCCCCCCCCCACGTGATACGCCCCTGTAAACACTCTACCAAAACTATTTTAATATTTAAACACGAATTGTACATCTGTTACAACGATAAAAATGGTTTTCAAACAATTTTAACGTATATGAAAAAAATACCGTATACCATCAAGTCTCAATAAAGTAAAGATTGCAGACTCCAAAATGTAAACACGATCACCCTTGTATAATAAAACCTTTATAAATCATTATTAAATGAACCTTACCGTGACTTTTCCGGTGTAAATCAATAGAAAATAGAATTATCTCCTAGATGCAATCAGAATAAACATTTATACATCTCATTGTAATATGAAAATCAACATTTAATTAAAAACGAAAGTAAATTTTGCGTTCTGTCCAACCAATACGAGACCTGAGCCCGGCTCTGCGTGGAGCGCTTGTCAAACCGGTATCCAAACGGTGTACATGCTTTCGACTAGATATCTACTCGAGCAATTATATCCTCATGTCCAAATTCAAATATTTAAATTGTGCATTATATAGAATTAAAATAAAACTTGGGAAACAACACACTGTGCATCTTGGTAATAGTTTAATTACAAATAAATGTCTTTTAAACGAGCGTTTGCAGACAGCTAATACGCGGGACACGAGGATATAATGCTCGAGTAGATATCTAGTCGAAAGCATGTACACCGTTTGGATACCGGTTTGACGGTAATCACTTTATGACATCCCTTTCCTGGAGGAGGCGGAGTTTCGAAGTCACATGCTTATGACATCACAGAAAAACAAAATGGAGGCTTCCAAAACAGAGGCGCGGGAAATTGTCCAGAAAAAATACCATTTTTCTGGTTCAAACTCCCTTCAAAAATTGGAAGACATCATCTTTCAACACGAGAAACAAACCAACTCTCTTTTCGTGTAAGTAAGGACCCGTAAATAAGCATAAGATACCCTATATGTTTCATTCTATTATTGTCAATTTTGTTAGAAATAATACCGAAAAGCGAACGGAACAAATACGCGGAAAGTGTTACTGGACACACACGGACCCCTCGAGACCTCCCCACTCACAGGCACTAGACACAATTATTTTACCCATATACGCTCATAATACTATATATAAAGAATATTCTTTATATATAGTATAATGAGCGTACATCAGTGTTTATTCTAGGAGGGGGGATGGGGGGATTCACCCCTATTTTTGAGAATTCACTCCTATTTTTTCAGAGGCAGGGGGAAAATTTTACATAGAGAAAGAAGGGAAAAGATCAAGAAATATAATAAATTCTGACTTTTCGATAAAAATCCCCCATTAGGCCCTATTTTTCGAATCCTAGAATAGACCCGGGTATATGGGTAAAATAATTGTGTCCCCACTGGCACTGTAGCTAGAGAACTGTCTGTATTTGTGCGATATTTTGCAGACAGTTTCTCCCCATTTTATTCTTTTAAAAAGATCGTTTTTTTCTTATTTGATATAAATGGGTTGACGTAGCATACAGAGCCCCCTCTTGACTAGATCTACCGGGTTGAGACAACTCGGCCCTATACCAGCTCGGCACGGGTCAACTTGGCCAACTTAAAAAAAAAAAACATTTTTTTTTTTCTGATTTCTTGCATGTTATCAAGACCATCTAATGTATTATAAATGAAAAATAAGAGATATCTGCAGATCAGGTATACTTTTATATTATTGTATCCCTGTTTCTCGTATTATCGTGGTTTCTCGTATTTTCGTGGAATTATTAAAACGGATGGAAGCGACACTCGCGTGACTTCTGTCGATATCCGAAAACATGTCTATTTAGCAGAGCTGTTTTGTCTCTGGCAAAAATAACGAAAGAAATGCGACAAAAACAGATAAAAAAACAAAATAACTGTGGAAATTATTGCAAAGTCCAGAGGAAAACATTAAATTAATCAGTTTTTTCTCCAAAATCATCAATTTTTTAGTTTTTCCCATGTTGCAGAAAGTCTGAAACCTGTATCGGGTCTCTGACACAAGGCGCTTTAAATGACGGTTTCACACTCGCACCGTATTACCGGCGGCAGTGATGGCAGATCACTGCAGTGATGGCAGATATCTGAAAATTACCGATCGATACAGGTAGGTTATAAATTTGGTTGGTTTAATTATATTACACAAATACGTCTGTAAAACTTTCAAGAAAAGACTCACGGGGTAGATATTTGGCTTGCGTGACCCCAATGGATGAACGTCTATATTGATAACAGGAAATCCTGCCATTTACTTAAAACTTGAGATATTTTGAACAGAAAACAGACATTTTCACGGATTTTTTCCAAGGCTTTCACTTTTAACCTGCTCAAAATAGTCTTAAAACAGGAAAAAACGAGTCCAAAATTACCTTACAGTATCTCCATTCAATGGACAATAGTTTTATAGCAATGAAATGGGCCGTATTTGTGTAATATAATTAAACCAGCCAAATTTATAACCTACCTGTACCGATCGGTAATTTTCAGATATCTGCCATCACTGCAGTGATCTGCCATCACTGCCGCCGGTAATACGGTGTGACACTACTACATTTGTATATGTACAATACAGCTCAAAGCATTTGTTCCACAAATAGATAATATACAAATCATATGAACTCCAATTAAAAACCAATAATGAAACATTATTTATCCTTATCAATTTTTAGTTTTGACAACAAAACAATAAAACACATGACTCTACAGTACAATGAAAAACTGTAGTATTCATTGCTAAATGCTTATATAACTAATAAGTAAACATAAACATAATATATTTTAGAGGGATAATGTAAACAACAACACATAATTGAGTTCAAACTATTTTTAGAACAAACCAAATCATGTGGTACCAAAAAGGCGTCAATACGATCCTAAAAGTTTGATTATGGCCTACCAAGCTTTTATTAAAACACAAAAAATTACAAAGCTAAGCTATTTAACACTTAATTAGGAGTTGCACTAATGATTTGAACTGGTGTGTAGAATAAAATCATCACATAGCGACCAGCCTTAACAACCAATCAAATTCCACGATAATATGAGAAAGCACCTGCTTCACATAAAGGGTGAAGGTCAGCATATACAAGCGGAAATAACTTTAGTTTTGCTTTCGGTTACGATCTTTCTTCATTTATATTGTCTTAAAAGGGCATTTTTCTGTGTATCAGGCTAAAATAATAAAAATTATCCAGCCAAGTTTAGGGCAACAAACAAGTTTGAAGGCAATCCATTCAAAAATAACAAAGTTACAGTCAATAACAGCGTGAACAAGCAAAATTTGGACTTTTAACCTTGAAGGTCAGTCATTTATGGATGAAGGTCAAGGTTAGTGAAGGGATCAACTTATATTATAACAAAACATACTTAAGGACAAGATCTTGTCACCACCACATGTCACCACCATGTGACACCACCAGCACTTGACACCACCAGCACATGACTTCACCACATGACTTCACCACATGTCACCACCACATGACTCCACCATGTGACTCCACACAAGAATCCACCACGTGACTCCACCACGTGACTCCACATGTCACCGCAACATGATACCACCATGTGACTCCACATGTCACCACAACATGACACCACCATGTGACACCACATGACCACACCACGTGACACCACATGTCACCACCATGTGACACCAGTGTCACCACCATCGACTTCACATGTCACCACCACATGACACCACATGTCACCACCCAGATCACCACCACATATCACCACACATGACACAATGTGACACCACCATGTGATACCACATGTCACAACCACATGTCAACACCACGTATGTGCGTGTTTCTATTTATAGAATTGCGTGTTTCTGTTTATATATATATACTAGTATATAAATTAGTATATTTAAAGATTTTGTTCAAACATTTCTTTGTTTGCTTTTAGAGAAAATTAAAAGTCGAGCGTTGCCCCTGTCTGGCGGTGGCTCTTGTTTTTTAATATGTTTATTTAAGGTCGCCGCCGGAAAGCCTATATAAGCGACAGTACACTCAAGTCGAGCCATCTTAAGAGCGTCCCAAGATTTTTTCGTCGATTTTTTTTCCAGCTTTATTAGCTCACCTGAGCATATGCTCAGGGTGAGCTATTAGGATCACTCTTCGTCCGTCGTCTGTCGTCCGGTGTCCGTCGTACGTCGTCCGTTGTCCGTTCACACTTTTCAAACGACATCTCCTCTGAAACCATAAGGCAGATCATAATGAAACTTCACAGGGATGTTCCTTGTGTGAAGCCTTAACAAAGTTGTTCAAAGAATTCCATTCCATGCAGAACTCTGGTTGCCATGGCAACCAAAAGAAAAAACTTTAAACATCTTCTTCTAGAAAACCCAAAGAGCTAGACCTAAGATATTAAGCATGAAACATCTTCTAATAAGTGTCTACCAAGATTGTTTAAATAAAAGCCTTGGGGTCAAAATTGGCCCCGCCCCCAGGGGGTTATTGATTTTCCCTATATGCATATAGTAAAAACTTTAAAAAATCTTCTTCTAAAAAACCGAAAGAGCTAGAGCTTAGATATTTGGCGTAAAACATGTTCTAATGGATGTCTACCAAGTTTGTTCAAATAAAAGCCCTGGGGTCAAAATTGGCCCAGCCCCAGGGGGTCATTGATTTTCTCTATATGCATATAGTAAAAACTTAAAAAAATCTTCTCTTAAAGAACCCAAAGAGCTAGAGTTAAGATATTAAGCATGAAACATATTCTTATCAGTGTCTACCAAGTTTGTTCAAATAAAAGCCCTGGGGTCAAAATTGGCCCCGCCCCAGGGGGTCATTGATTTTCCCTATATGCATATAGTAAAAACTTAAAAAGAATTCTTTTAAAGAACCCAAAGAGCTAGAGCTAAGATATTTAGCATGAAACATGTTCTAATTTGTGTCTACCAAATTTGTTCAAATAAAAGCCCTGGGGTCAAAATTGGCCCCGTCCCAGGGGTCATTGATTTTCCCTATATACATAGAGTAAAAA